CGCAGCTGTGCGGTCACACCTTACCTGCGGTCACACCTTACCTAGACCCCTAAACCCCTAAACCCTAAACATCTCTCCGGGCTAGTTGAGCCGCCACACAGCGAGAGGGACCTTCATATAAACATCGGCACCCCTTGTGGTCACCCCGAGGGGTTGGGGCCTCACCTAACCTCTCTCTCTCTCTTTCTCTGAAGGTCTCGTTGCTGCAAGTGATGCGATCGAAAGCCCTTTCTGCACTGCTTCAGGGAAGGAGAGCTAGAGACACGTCTGTGTGCGTGTTTTGTCCACGAGACAACAACAGTAACAGCAACCGCAACAACCAGCAGCAGCAACCGCAACCGCAACCGTAACCACCCCCCTCAAAACTCTCACCACCGCCACCACAACCACCACAACCACTACCACCACCACCACCACCACCACCACCACCACCACCACCACCTCCACCACTCCAGCAGTTCAAAACGTTCAAACATCCAACTCAACGTTCAACATCCAACTCAACCAAAGGTCATCATCGACGGTCGGCAGAAACTCGCTTAAAGACGGTGGTCTGGAAAAAGGAAAGGCCACTGAACGTCTCTGAAATTGTTTAGAAATAAGACCCTCTTAGGCCCAGTCGGGCTAGGGGCACAATGTAGGGGCCTTAATAATTAGACTAGGGTTCGGGGTGTTCCTTAATAATTATAGTATAATATACCCCCAAAACCCTATCCTAAGTATTAAGGCCCCTACATCACCTCCCAAATCCTAGAGCTGCAAGGCTGCTGAAACCCTGGCTTCCACTTTTGCGACGCCCGAAGCCCCACCATCCCATGGGTTGCACCCTAAACCCTAAACCCTAAACCCTAAACCGAACCCCGAAGCCGGACGATCCCCCAAAAAACAGCACCTCAGCATTAGCTTTAGGGTGTAGGTTTAGGGTTTAGGGTTTAGGGTTTAGGGTTTAGGGGTTACCCTAAACGCTAAACCATAAACCCTTATTTTAGGGTGTCAGGGCTTACCTTAACCCCAAATAAGCTACATTTTTAAGGACATAAACAAAGAAACCATATGAAGGAGCCCTAAAACGGTAGGCTCTTTAGGGTCAAGGTAGGGTTTGGGGATTAGGGCTGTGCGGCGGATGATATACATCCTGCATTACCCTTAAAAAGGAATATACCATCATTCCCATAGTTTAGGGTTTAGGGTTTAGGGTTTAGGGTCATTAAGGTAATGCAGGATTTATACTATCAACAGGAGTATGTTTCCGGATCCCAAGCCGCAACCGCCCCGGAAGAGCTCACGGAATGCTCCGGGCCCAGTGGCGCAGCTTCGGGTGGCAAGCACTCGAACAACGCCCGCCTTAGCACTGAAGAACGCACCCCCGTCCCATAAAGGAACCCCTGAACGGAACCCCTAAAGGGAACCCTTAAAGGAACCCTCAAGAGAGCCCTTATGGGTCAGAAGTCTGTTTGCTGAGCCGCAGAGCGCTATATAACTCCCGATCCTCAACCTTTGCTTTCAGGATATAGAGCATTCAGGGTTTAGGGTTTCGGACCTTGGACATCCCTGAACTCACTTTGTGCCCTAAACCCTAAACCCTGAACCCCAAACCCTAAACCGACAGAATGCCGAAAAGTAGACTGTGGTGGACCTTCCAGTTGAATGGGCGATTCGGGCTCGGGTGTTTCCCGGACCTGGGCTTCCGGGTTTCGAATCTCGAAACCCGTTTAGGGTTTAGGGTTTAGGGTTAACCTTTATAATTAGACTTGGGTTTTGGGGTATATTATACCATAATCACGATAAGGAACCACGAAAATAGTAGAGGTAATTATTAGGGCCCCTATACTAGCAAGTCTGGTAGGGCGTCTGGGGTTCGGGGTTTGGGGGTTTTAGGGTGTTTAATGGGGCTGCGATGGTGGAGCGTAAAGCAGAAGGGACTTTCAATCGAGCATCTAAACTGACTGCCTGAGGGTGCCACCGTGCTGACAAAATTGTCTGTACGTCACCAACCCTAAACCCTAAACCCTAAACCCCTAGACCTAGTAATTCAAGTCACGAACCTAACCCCGACTCCCTAAACCTCAAGCCTGTGTCCCAAACCAAACTCCACACAGTTCCAAGTAGTGAGCTGAAGCCATGAGCACCTTTAGGGTTTAGGGTTTAGGCATTCCTGGTTTAGGGTTTTGGGTTTAGGGGTTTAAGGGTTAGG